AAGAACAAAAATAAATACATGAAACTTAATTAAACTTATAAGCTTTTGCACAGCAAAGGAAACCATAAGCAAGACAAAACAACAATCTGCAGAATCATAGAAAATATTTGGACATGATGAGACAGACAAAGGTTTAGTTTCCAGAATGTATAAACTGCTCATATAACTTAATAAGAAAAAACCAAACAACCCAATCCAAAAAAGAACAGAAAATCTAAACAAGCATTTCTCCAGTGAAGATGTACAAATGGCCGATAGGTACATGAAAAAGTGCTCAACATTGCTAATTATCAGAGAAATGTAAATCCAACTACAATGAGGTATCACCTCACACCAGTCAGAATGGCCACCATTCAAAACTCAACAAATGGTAAATGCTGGAGAGGCTGTGGAGAAAAGAGAACCCTCTCACACTGTTGGTGGGAATGTAGTTTGTTGTAGCCGTTACGGAAAACAGTATGGAGATTCCTCAAAAGACTAAAAGTAGACTCACCATATGATCCAGGAATCCCACTCCTGAGCATATATCCAGAGGGAACTTAATTCAGAAAGACACATGCACCACAATATGCATAGCAGCACTATAAACGATAGACATGGAATCAACCAAAATGTCCATCAACAGATTACTCAGTAAAGAAGCTGTGGTACACTTATACTTTGGAATACTCCTCAGCCATTGAAAAAAAAATAATGCCATTTGCAGCAACATGGATGAACCTGGAAATCATCATTCTAAGTGAGGAAGCCAGAAAGAGAAAGAAAACTCGCTTCTCTAGAATTTACTCAATTTCAATCCACGTGATTTCAGTAGAAATGTCTCCACTGCTGGTTACAAAGCAGTCATGTCACCAGGCATGATCAATCAGAAAACAACATTTGTTGGTATCAAAGGCCAAAATGGATGGACATGTGGCTGAAGCCATCCCAGTTGTCCCAAAGACATAATTCCATACCTTTATTTTGAACTATTGAGAATGAGAAGCACCCTTGCTATGGATTTGAAGTCAGTAGGATGTAAACTAGATATTCTAGAGATCTTTATCCTGCCCCTGTGGACACTCAACATGAGACCAAAGCTGACAATAAGGGAAGCAAAGTCTGATGGTGGAGACTGAGTCCTGATAACGTTGTTAGAATCTGTCAGTAAAGCTTTATATAATTTTTTCAACATGAGCTAATCAATTCCTATTTACCTTAAGCCATTTTGGGTTGGATTGGTGACACTCCCAGCTTAACGAGCACAGGTTAATACAGACTCTCTATTAATTGCTCCCCAAGCACTTTGATTTTACAGTGTTAGAACTGTGTTATACTTGTGTCTTGTAGCAGGCAAGTGTGAGCTCAGTGAGGACAGGGTCATGCGTTTTGTGTTCCTCCTCTCTCCCACAGCTGTTAGCATAGTACGTGTCCATTAAGTATTTTAATAAATTAATACAGTTATTGAAGTTTCTATTGTGCTTATTTATTTCCATATCCAAAAATATCTTGTTCATTTGTCTTAGATTTTTCCATTATAGATATTTAAACAATATTCGATGAATTACTTTGCCTCTTAAGTCATATATGCTACTTGTATATTTTCCCATTTATACACACATTAAATTTCTTCTTAATATTATGCCTAGGTATTTTTTAGTTTTTGGCTTCTTTTATGAATCAAATTATCCCCTACAATTCTCCAATTCATCATTAGTATATCAAGGAAATTGGTATATCTTGATTTTAAGTTATTCATTTCACATCTACACATTCTGGTGAACTGTAACTTTGGCTTTATACGGAGAAACATGTCTGCAAACAAGGATATTTTTGTCTTTGTCCATAGATTTTACTGCATTAACAATAAACTTTGGTATTCAAGGAACAAAATCTTTATCTTCTATGTTGGTTTGCCACTTTGTTTTTCTTTTCTGTTCTTTTTTTTTCCTTTTCTTTTCACTTCTTGTCCCTACATTTTCTTCCTTTCCTTTTTTAACTTTTTATTTTGGAATTATTAAACTTAAATGAAACTAGCAAAAATTCCTATGCAGCCTTCACCCAAATTCCCCTAATTTGCTGATATCTTAGATAGCCATAGTACTGTTATCAAAATCAGAAC